CCCTCCAATCTGGTTTCCGCCTTGCCCACAGTACAGAGACTGTGCTTGTAAAAGTCACAAACTACATCCTCGCCATCTGTGACCAGGGCTCCCTCTGCCTCCTTGTCCTCTTGGACCTCTCCGCGGCGTTCGACACAGTCGATCATGCCATCCTCCTCCAACACCTTTCTTCTGTCATCCACCTCAGTGGGACCACACTCGCCTGGCTCGAGTCCAACCTCACAAACCGTCTGCAGTACATCTGCACAAACTGATTTCTCCTCCCACTCTCACCCAGTTACCTGTGGGGTACCCCAAGGATCCATCCTTGGCCCCCTCCTCTTTCTGATCTACATACTCCCTCTTGGGGATGTCATCCACAGACATGGGGTACATTTCCACATGTATGCGGCAACACCCAACTCTATTTTTCCACCTCTTTGCGACCCCCAGTCCCCCGATGTTCTGTCAGGCTGCCTGTCAGATCTCAGGGGCTGGATGAGCGCAAATTTCCTTCAACTGAACGTTGACAAGACAGAAGCCATACTCTTTGGCTCTAGTCAACATCTGAAATCTCACGGCTCTCACCTGCTCCACCTACCCGACCTCCCCCTAAAACTCTCCAAACCTGTACGCAACCTGGGCGTCAGGTTCAACCCCCAATTATCCTTCCTCCCCCACATCTGGTCCCTCACCAGCACCGCCTTCTTCCACCTCCAACATATCGCCCGTCTCCACCAATACCTCTCTCCGAAAGCCACTGAAACCCTAGTCCATGCCTTTGTCACCTCTTGGCTGGACTATTGTAACGCCCTCCTCGCCAGCCTCCCCTCCACTAACATCCATAAAATCCAGATTATTCAAAACTCTGCCGCCCGCATTATTATCCGCACCAAACTCCTCTCCCCGATCACCCCAGTCCTTGCCAGACTGCACTGGCTGCCTATCCCAGAGAGGATAGATTCAAGATACTCACCCTTGTATTCAAATCCCTCCATTCCTCTGCACCCCCCTACCTCTCTGACCTCCTCAAAAATATACCCATTGCCTTCATTCCTCCGGGTCTGGCCTCCTAAAAGTAGCTTAAGCCGATGAGTCCCAAGGGACACAAAGCTATAAAAACGTGCAACATTCTAATGAAGGAACACCCAAGACATTAAAACAGCCTTGCTCGCCCTTCAGATGCAAAAGGACCTGCTGTGCATTTCCAATTTTAATTGAAAATTCCCATAACAAACATTTCATTTAAATAGAGATTAAGACTTGGAATTGTTTCACTGCCTTCATAGACTAATGTAATAGCAAATCCTTCAGCCAAACCAATATATAGGATTCTTTAGTGAACCCAATACTCACTTCAGTGATCCCAGTACTGTATTTGCAGCATATTTCCTGGCAAAACCCATCAATCCCACTCAACATAAAGCTATTACCACCAATTGGCAGGTGGCCTAGTGATCCCTGGCACAGTACTAGAGTGTTACATAACTAAACAGAATGTACTGTTCCCTTGGTCTTACGCATTACAGTATTTGAACCATAATGCTTGTTACCCCAATAACAAGCAACAAGGCAAATGAAATTAGGGTTACAAAATGGGAACACAATCTCAATTGAAGTACAACGCTCTTCAATTTTTGCTTATTTTTTCTCCTTTCTATGGTGGTGGGGGAGGGGAATGACCTTCACTAACGTTAATCTTGACACCAGTTAAAATGAGTTGGGATGAAGTCTGAATGGGTGGTATGGAGAAGAGGTGGGAGAACAAGTGCCATGTGGCTGGAGATCATAACCTCTTGGAAAGCCACAGAACAGTTCCCAGCTGAGAAAGGTAACCGGGAAGATGCACTAATGAAATGGAATGATAATGTTGCCAATTCTGAGTGAATAAAATAGCTAACACCTTAGCTGATCATGTTCCCAACACTGCATGTAGACAGTAGGAGCTATCAGCGAGTAGAAGAATCACATGACAGCAGAGTCATACAGCAAGGTCCTAGGATTGAACTCTGGTACTTGGCCAGTTTACTTAATCTGAGAAGACACAATGATATTATTGTCCAATAGATTGAGTTTTGGGGGGTGGCAATGAAAGGAGGGATAGATACAATTCAGATTCATGCAGGTGAAGCACATTGGTGGTGAGGGGGGGGAAGAAGAGGAAAGAAAAACAAAGACCAATACAGGGTAAAACCTGAGCCTTACAGACCCAGAAGATAACTGTTCTGTGAAGGTTAGTGAATCTCAGTAGTCTGGGGTAAAGGAACTAGTACCAGGTCTAAGGGAAGAGGAAGAAAAAGCCAGGGTTCCCATCCTGATCATTCTCTGAGTGTTGGGTTTGTGCATCAGCCTGGCCCAGTTGGTAGCACTCTCAACTCTCGAGTCAGAAGGTTGTGGGTTCAAGCACCACATCGGGACCTGGAGCTCATATAATCTATGATGACACTTCAATGTAGTGCTGGGTTGGGGGTTGCATTGTTAGAGGTGCTGTCCTTCCTATGAGACATTAAACTCCTGGAAAAGGGAAGGTAGTTTCTCCTGGTACTCTGGCCAATAACCCCTCAACTAAAATTGGTCGTTCACTTCACGGTTGTTTGTGGGACATTGTGTGCAAATTGGCTGCTCCGTTTGCCCACAAAACAGTCAATGATCTTAACAATATATCCAACAACCTTGAGCTTGGACTACAGACTCAGAAGAGCACAGGTCTGCTAGAATAAAGGGTGTGGCCAGAAAAGTGATTAAAGCAATTGACATTTCCAGTCTGGTGAGAGTCTTACGCAAGTAGGAGGGCCTTAGTAACACAACTCACTCTACATTGATATAGCACCTTTCATGAATGTAGGATGTCTCAAAGTACTTGTAAATTTGTGTTTCATCAGTAATGCATTGATTTTATTTTCCAGAACTTTTAGGTAACAAATATTTCCTTCTCCCTGGAGACTTCCCCTCAGATAAATGCTTGGGCTCTGTCAGGGAAGGTGAAACAAAGATGGACACAAGAAGGAGAGGCTGAGGATCAACCCATTGGCGAGCTTGGAGGCAGTAGAGCCTGGTGAGATTCGGGGTAAATGGATACAGAACCTAATGTGGGAAAGGATACAGGCCGTGTTGTTCCGGGCAAGGCGATTCTTGTGAAGGGTGAACCAGGCAAAGAAATCCAAGTCTAGAAGCAATAAAGACAATGGATGAGGGTCTAAAACTCACAAGGTTATGCACTGGTTGAGTGAACAATTGGGGAGGCTGATGGGAGACAGCATGAATTGAACTTGTTGACTTTTTGGTGGAAAAATTTAAGGCTTAGTTAGTACTCAGGATACCAGTCATCTTGGAAATAAGGTAGAGTTGGAGGACAGCATTATGCGATTGGAAGTTGANCCCCCAGCCTGAATGAAGGATAGACCACAGGCAACAAAGGATGGTTAACAGAATCCACGAGAGTAGAGGACTTCAAAAAGCAAAGAGAAACCAAGAAGTGGATCAAAAAGCAAAAAGAGAGTGATCGTGACATGGGCTCAAGCTTAGAAGCATGAAAATGAAAGAAAGGTCAACAGTAATGTTATGCAGTAGCTATCTGTTGAACAGACAATGTAGGGAAGTGAAGAGATTAATAATTATTTGGTCTCTAAAATCAGTATAAGAAAGAATTGTAGGATTACTTCTCTTTCACTATTGGACTAGCCGAATGGATCTCAATGGTCTTTTCCAGTTCTATGTGTTAACATTTCAGAAAAATGTCCTGAAAGTTGTTTTTGGTTAGCTGGGTACACTCCAGCACCACAGTCAAACCCACAAGAATCAATAATGCAAGGTAGGAAGTAATCCGTTTAGTAGTAAATTAGTGTAACAATTCTCTTGCATCTGCCAAACCCTGATTTACAAGCATTGAACCAAGGTCAAGGGCTCTCCATTATTCTGTTAATGTACCCAATATTAAAGATCTCAATCAAATTATCTGCCTCATAATATTAGTACAATTAAAGATTGTTGACTAAGAATACTAAAGTGTTCTAAATGCACACACTGCTTCAATGCATACAATGCAAATGATGCTGGCCATGCTTGGATGTATAGCAAATAAACAGAGGAAGCACCAAGGTTTGACACTGATGAAGAACTTCGCTCTGAATTTTGCTTAAATTCATGCCAGCTGACCTAAAGTTTTGTTGTTTCCCCTAAAATAACTCCAGGCCATACACACATGCTCACTGAAAGATGTTTTAAGTTGCAAGAGTACATTCAGGAAATACACCTTTTATTGTTGCAAGTCATGCTTATCTGCTCCACATGGCTTCTGATTTCCCAGCAGGAGCTGATGACTGATGGAATCGGAGACATTTAAAATGACAGTACAGGAAGAATCACACCATTTTAAACAAGTTTAACTAAAGATCCAAGTTCTCACTGTACATAAAGATCTCTCAATCCCATCAAAACCTCTCCTTCCCCCAAAATGGCATGAAATATAACTCAATACACTCAGTAACCCACAATGAAATCAGATACCATATTCACAGAAAGACATTGAAGTTATAGTCTATTGGGGTTAAGTTGCTGATTCACACTATTTCATAGTTCCAATAACTGAAAATCCATGACTCCAACTTGAACCAACTACATTCCAAAAATGAGTGGCAGCAGTGTGCCTGCAAGCTGGTATTAGACTTTGATTTTCAACCCCATGATATTCAAGAAAACATTCTTACAACAACTTTCAGTCCGAAAGTCAGACCTGCTCAAAGGTCAAACTTTGATATGTCAGACCAGTTTATATGGTGGCCAGTCACTGTTTATACCAGCATCCAGAACAAGAAGAGTACAGTCACTGAAAGCACAGCTGTACATGGCTAGAGAAGGTCCATGCATGCGTGCATGGAATGAAAACCCACAACACGGAGCTGAATAGATTGCCAAACCAACACTGTAAAGGAATAGAAGCATGAAGGAATAGGTGTTATTTGGATTAGCAGATCACTATGAATGTCACACATTTAACCATCTGCTACAGGTGTGTTACTCACGTGTGGCATAGAGAGTCAGAAATATTCCTGCCAGTGAGAAGCCTTCAAAAAACCTCAGAGTGCTGAACATCGTCACATTCACAGACAGAGCCACCATCAGTCCAAAGATTAACATTAACACAATGGAGACTGCCAGCACCAGCTGTCGACCAAACCTGAGAAATAAACAGTCAGAGTCAGAATGTAGTTTCTCACAGTAACATGAGCCACCCATACACACATACCACCTGATGAGATTCTCACTGGCACAACTAGCTTTCTCACCCTTTCTTCTGAAGCCAAACAGTTACCAATTAAAACTTCAAACCAGCAATAATTTGGTCATTGCAATATTTTAAAAACAAGTCTCATTTCTCCATTCCTTCCCTTTCCCCCAAGCTAGATAATTATCAGGACTCCCAGTGCAGATGTACATTATGTAAAACATCCCAGAAGTATCACTGGCAAAGCTGGTGTGCGATGCAATCATATTTTTCTAGTCTAGTCCTCCTGACCCAACAGTTTGTCAGTCCAGATATAAAATTAGTTTTCCAATTAGTCCAGGAATGTTGCTGCTACAATTGGCCATCAATGCCACGGAGCTAATTGTGGTGGGGAGATACGTGTCTCTCTGCTGAAAAGTCAGAATGGGGAGGGAGAAAGCGAGTATTAGGACTCACTCCACCACAACAGTCAAATGTTCTGGCAAAGTTCCCGATTAGGTTCAGACAAGGAAAGTAGTCATGAGCAAGAGCCCAGCCAGCAGGAATGTTGGCACATTCAGGAGACAAAAAAACAAAAACAATCATTTTAGTCAAACCAAATTAATTACTTACAAAACAAGAAATCAACTGTTACCCAGCGCTCCCCATCGCCCCGCCCCCCCAAAACAAAATCACCTGGGGTAAAAAAAAGTAATTCAGAACTTACCAATCAGCTAGGCATCCAGTTACCAAATAGCCAATAATCAGACCAACAAGTAACGAGAACTTAGCAATGTGGACCATCCAAGAGGAATCACAAACCAGGTTCCACTGAAGACAAAAAGAGAGAAACATTAACATCCAGCACACCCAGCCCTGGCCAACTGACTTAACCATTCTGCTTGGATTTTACCATTCCATTTCTTTCTATTAAAATAAACTCAAAACATCATTGTACTTTTACCCAATAGAAAACCCACACCACTGGCATTCTACAGTACAAGTGAATTATTTTCCTGTCTAATAATTGCTCTACAACAGTGTATTAGATTAGGTCCCACCTATGCACTTGCCCCTTTCTTTTACACTTTCAAAGCCCATTTTGAGACTCACCCCTTTGATGTCACTTTCAATTTCCTCCCACTCCCCACCCTCATCTTCTCCCACTCCCCACCACAGCTTATCTATAATAATAACATTCAATACAGCATCTTATCACATCTTCAAGATGTCTCAAATCACTTCACAGAATATACTGTAAAGTGAATTGACTGTATAATCTGTGGGCAAAATTTTCCAGCCAGCAGTATAAATTTAGCATATTGAGACATTCTTCTGACATGAAAGACACTATATAAATGTAAATTGTATTGCTCAAGAGACCTCTATTCAAATTGCTGATTCAATTTCCCTTCCTTTGGAATAATCTGCTGCTTTGAACATAATCGTGACAGGAGTATCGCATATGCATTTCAATGGAGGCAACACTATAATTGAGTCATGATTCACAGCAATAATTACTATATGCAATCTAGGCAATACCACATTTAATACTAATATTTTAAGCTTCCCTATTAACTCGGCATGTATCCAGCAAGCCGAATACATATTGAGGAAGGTTGCAGATAAATGTGAAGAGGGAAAATAAAACACGGGTTCTTCTGATCACTACTCATCGACTCCCTATGCTAGAGAGATGTGGCCATACAAGGCTGCTGTGATGCCCTTTTCAAACAAATCCCTAATCAAACAACTCAGTCAAGCTTCACACATGGAAACTGGTCCTCTTGCCTGTGGATCTGTGTAGCATCTTCGGGAAAAGGAAGGAAAAGTTGGTGGAGAAAAGCAGCAATGTATTGTTCTGGCAATTATATAAAATCAGGTTACTTTGCCAACAGGTCATACAAGCAGAATACATTAACTGCAAGGATAGCATAGTTATACTTTCATAATCCTCCAGTACAATTATCTGCCTTTGCCAATTACCAGCTTTCAGGTCACCCCACGACAAACCTTCTACTCATCTTACTCTAAATTAATAGATAGGACACCCACTTGGAGGAATGAGGTTGTACCCTGTTCCTCCTTTCTCCAAAGATGGATGGGACAGCAAAAGAAATTGAGTCTCATGGAAATATTTCATGCATATTCATGAAGGAAAGCAATATAACCATAAAATGTGTTAACATAGGAGATACAAATTGGTATCAAGTATAGCATCAACACAAAATGCTTGAGCACATTTATCTTCTGAATATGATGTACCTAATATATTGTGCTATTTTCCATCTCATAAACATTAGCAATATCACAAGATTATATCAGATTACAGCTCTGCACAGAACAACCCATTTTCTTTGGCAGGACCCAGGGATGCACATTTACAGGGAATTTCTAGATATGCAGAGCCTCTTTGATTTCTCCATGCAATACATTTTTAGATTATTAATATAGTATTTGCCTTTAATACAACGCCTTTCATGTCAGGACAATTTTAAAGCACTTCAGAGGAATTACTGTAATATGCAATGACTGTATTTTGTACACAAGTACAGCAGTCAATGTGCAAAAAGCCATTAAGTGAGTGATCAATTTTATTTGGGGATTTTTGGCCAGAACACCAAGAGTAAATCTTCTCTAATAGTGCCATGTGATTTTCAAATTTCAAATTCACCTAATTGAAATGAAAAATTTAAATAGCAGCACATGCCTTTGATACTATTACATGGTCAAGCAAGTCATCCTTCCTAACTTTATAAACCACATAAGACAGTCTCTTTCCCCCCACCCACAAATTCAAGACCTAGTAGCTTTTAGTGTGAAAAGGAACACTGCATGCAGTTCTTAAGCGTATGGTGAAACACTTCACAATGAGACCATTTCCACATTTCCCAATCACAGATACAACAGCAACAAGATTCCATTTATAGAGCGCCTTTCACGTCGGGAGGACGTCCCAAGGCGATGTACAGTTGGGTCAGGACCCGAGCAAGGGGGAAATGGTCAAGGTGAGGGGAGGGAAGAGAGGGAGCGAGGAGGTGGTAGAGAGTCGAGAGGGGAGCTGAAGGCACGGTCAAAGAGAAAGGTCTTGAGACCGGTCTTGAAGGAGGAAAGGGAGGAGGGAAGGCGAAGGCACTGGGGGATAGAGTTCCAGAGCCTAGGGGCTGAAGGCCTGGCCACCGATGGTAGGGCGGTTGGGGCGGGGGATGTAGAGCAGACCGGAGCCAGAGGAACGGAGGGTACGAGCAGGTAGGTAGGGGGATAGTAGGTCGGAGAGGTAGGAGGGAGCAAGGCCGTGAATGGCCTTGTAGGTGAGGATGAGGATCTTGAATTCGATAGCTGACATACTGGAGAAGGCAGAACATTCACTTGCAGCAAACATTACTCAGAGCAATACAGCTATATTTAAGGGGACACAAGGACACTTGGTGTACTAGATGTCACAATAAGTAAAGCCAGAGACTTTGAAACAAAGCTTAAGATGTCATGATATTCATCCACTGGGATACAGGAACCAGATGAGTATAGGCACAGCAAGACTATAGTCAAGTATTGCAGACAGACTGCCCAGTTTATGTTACTCCAGCAACATAGATTCAGAAAAAAATGGAGCCTTGTACAGCTGACAGTGTTTTGGATTAGGATTGATTCAACTTCAAGATCCTCACCCTTGTATTCAAATCCCTCCACTCCTCTGCGCCCCTTACCTCTCTGACCTCCTCAAAACAGTACCCGTTGCCTTGGTTTCTCCGGGTCTGGTCTCCTCCTCATCCCGAGTCCTCCACTCCACCTTTGGTGACTGTGCCTTCAGCCACTATACCCCGAGACTCTGGAACTCCCTTCATTCGCCTCGCTCCCTCTTCCCATTTTCAGGTCTTTGCTGAAGACCTTTCTCTTTGACCACGACTTTGGTCACCTTTCCCCCCTCCCTCTGGCTCGGTCCCAGGATCCGTTACTGTAAAGCGCTCTGAGACTCCGTCCAGCGTGGAGGGTGCTATATAAATCCAAGTTGTTGTGGGATTAGTTGCATTTTGTGAATGTGGGCCTGGGGAGACCAGAAATTGGGGGGGGGGGGTGGAATCATGGTGGGCAGCAATAAGTGCATGAATGATGGTTTCAGCTGTATTTGGTGTCAGGTACAGTCAGAGGAGAATGATATCGCAGAGGTGGAGGAAGACAGACCTGGTCAGGTATTGGAAGTGGGGAAGGAAGGGCAGCTGGGGATGAAACCCAACATCTAGGTTGTGCAAACATTCAGCAAGTTTGAGGAATAGGCCGGAAGAAAGTTAGAACTGCAGGTAAGAAGACATTAACAGAAGCCAAGGATGGCTTCTATCTTGTCAACATTCAGCTGCAGAAAGCTTGAGCTCATCCAGCCCGAGATGCCTGACCTCAGGTAACAATAATAGCATTTGATGCAGCACCTTAACCAGTCTTCCAGATGCCTCAAAGTGCTTCACAGAATACATTGTAAAGCAAATTGACTGTATACTTGGTAGGTAAATGAGTAGCAGCTGAAGGAGGAAAAGTAGATTTGATTGTTGTCCACATACATGTGGAAGTTGAACCCATTTTTCTGGATGACGTCATCAAGAGGGAACTCCATTATAAAATGTGCAACTACTTTGTGAGAAGAGCAAGAAGGTTGACTTGTGGTAAATTGTGCAATAGGGAGTGGTTTAAGGTTGGGCAGACATTAAAAATCCTATGGTAATACTCAAAATGATAAGGGAGTTTCTCCCAGTGTCCTGGCCTCAAATAATTCCCCAGACAAAAAATGGTCACTCACTTCATGGCTGTTAGAGAGACACTTCTGTACACAAATTGGCTGCCTAATTTGCCTACAAAATGCAGGCACTACACTTTAGAGTAAACTCCTGTGAAGCACTTTAAGACAATCTCCTGATGAAAGGCACAATGCAAATTGAAGGATTCTTTTATACATACCACAATTTAGTACTCAATTACGAATGACGTTTCATACTCCTCAAAATTATTTTACTGGGGCTATCAAGAAAGAGAGAAGGATATACACGTACATGTAATAATAAATGACGAATATGTTCATCTCCAGTCAGTATGGATTTGTCTTCCTCATGTCCCAGGTGGAAGAAATGAAACAAGATACTTACACAATTCAACCCACTTTTTGAAAAACACAGCGGAACAGTTGATGAATGAGACAATTTGTTCCAGGGGAGGATTTGTGTTTTCATTGTGGAAATTCACGATTATTGGGAGGAATCGCATCAGGGCTGTGTGGTGATTATTTTCTTTTAAATGTCAGCGTCAACAAGCATTTGATGAAATCCACTGACACAGTGGTGCCAAGCAAGGGCAGCTGGTGTCTTACACAAGACGAGCCCAAGGGGGAGACGGAGTGAAACTCGAGCACTCCTGTATCGAATGCATAAGTGGAGTCCTGTAGCTCCGCTTTGCAAGTGAGAGACCCGAGTTCAATTCCAGGCAGGGTGAAACCTTGGGCAAGTTTCCTTACTCCACATACCTAATAATAATCCCTCTAAAACCAAAAAAAAAAAAAAAATTGCTCATTTTCAATCTACGACTGTTTGTGGGACATTGCTGTGCGCAATTGGCTGCCGCGTTCGCCCACAAATATACAGTCAATTCACTTTACAGTGTGTTCTGTGAAGCGCTTTGGGACGTCCTCCCGACGTGAAAAGCGTTATATCAAATGCAAGGATTATTATTATTATTATAAGAGAGAATATGGCATTGACTACATTTGCAAGAACAGCATTCCTCTCTGGGAGAAAAACCGTTTCACTTGGGCATCGACCCTCCTCTGGCAGAGCTTCCAAAGGACACGTCCTCCAACAGTCAGTTAAGTTAGTTAGTTAGTTATCTTAGTGAGAGTCGGATGAATGAGACAATTCGTTCCAATATCTTTCTTCAAAAGAAATCCACGGCATAAAAATAATAATAATCATCATCATCATCATTGCTCCTGAGCCCCACACACACACACACACACACACACGCGCCCGCCTTACTGATGCTGAGCCACTCCTCCTCCACAACAACCACCACCACCACCACCACATGCATTTATGTAGAGCCCCTCCCGTAGATGGGGGGCGTCCCAGAGACCCCCCCCCCAGACCCTCACCTTGGTGACGATGTTCTGGGTGAGGGCAGCTCTCAGGATATAGTCCCTCTCTGTGCACTGGCAGCTGCTGTTGTCCTCCGGGTGCTGGTGGCTGGGGCTGGGGGCGGGGGCGGGGGCGGGGGCGAGGACGGCACCGGTGCCGTTGGGCAGTCGGCCCCCGAGCTGTGCCAGCACCAGCCGCCCCGGCGGCCGCCGGCTGTCGTTCCGGCAGCTGAAGTCGGGCTCGGCGGTGAAGAACGAGTCCGAGCTCTGGCTGAAGCCGATGAAGATGGCCGGGATCCAGGTCAGGAGGATCAGCCGCTTCTGGTACTGCCCGAAACCCCCCAAGAGAGGCATCACCGTCCCGTCGAAGTCCCTGAGCCTCGTCGGGGGCGCGTCTCGCCGTCTGGAGCCAACCCCCCCCTCCTGATCACCTCTCTCCACAGCCATGGGCTTCGCACCACGAGATTGTTTAATATATACCCCTATTCCAATTCAAACGACACAAAAGAAATCCCTCTGCAGATTGATCAAGATTGGGCTTTGCCAATTGACTCCCAGCCCTCTGCAATATTCACTGGCAAATCATTGCCACTCACAGAGAGAGAGGGGGAGACTTCAGTTGGTGTTCCCCCACTCCCTGTGTGTGTGTGTGGAGAGAGAAGGAGTAAAAGAGAGCGCACAGGAAAGAGCGCAGCGAAATTTTTTGCAAATGAAACACAAAAGTCGCCTTTGCTTTCGGTCGCGATCTTTCTAACACAGAGAGAAAAAGAAAGAGGGAGAGGGGGAGAGAGGGGCCGGAATGGTCACCAGCTCAGATAGAAGAAGAAGAAGAAGAAAAAGAAAAAAATACAAGTTCCAGTACTGCGGTGGAAGAGCTTCTGATCCCCACTAACACTCACTGGCGACTCACTCATTAGATTCGTAACACACACACACATACATGGCCGGGGGGAGAAACCAAAGGGGGAGGAGGAGAGAAACCGGTTTCGACGTTTTTCCCCGGAAGAGTCAGATCCTCTTGGCTGCCAAGTCCTGCCCTCTTTCTCTGGTTTATTGTGTGTGTGTATATATATATATATATATATATGTGTATGTGTATATTATTGCACAATCAGCTACAGGTACCACATCTGCGATCACCTGGAAACGAGCTGCAACACATCCTCTCTTTTTCTCTCCAAATCTGGAAGATGAGCTGTACGTACATTGACAATGGGCTGAAATCAGGAAGAGGAGATTTTGTAAATACTATATATATATATATATATATATATTCCTTTCTTCTCTGAATCCCCTTGGAAAACTGCCTTTGACTGTGGACAGACACACGCACACGGTGCATTTGTGCCAACTCGCCCTCCTGCACCTGTCTGTCTGGATGGAAAGATAGTTACAGCTGCACTACAGACAGATGCCGGTGACGACCTTCCACAAGATATTCTGTGTGTTTTACTCGCTGCAAATAAAATATCCCCATACGATGCAGACACGATCCAGAGCTTGTCCACTAATTCTCATCCTCCAACCGAAAATACTGTCTGACTTCCTTACAGTCTGTGAGAACTGGAACTTTAAGAAATCTGCAATCTTTGTAATATAGTACTCTATCGATAGAATTATTTGTTATTGTTGAAAATGAAGGTCTTCGATGTTTTTTTTTAAAAAACGCTTTATAAAACTTTGCGTAATTTGTGTGATGATGTGCTGTTAAAGCGGTCTGGGACGGTACCCTGCATGAGGGGCACTATGTAAGTGCAAGTTGTTGCTACAGCAGAAAGTGCTGATGACCACTGGTAATCACATGTGGGTGATCTGAGCCTCAATCCACAAATGTTTGTGGGACAACAACAACATGCAATTGATTGCCAGTTTTTGCCCACAAAATATACAGTCAATTCACTTCACCGTATATTCTGTGAAGCACTTTGAGACGTCTCAATGGTGTGATAAGGCTATATCAAATGCAAGAATTATTGTTATTAGGTTGACCGCTGCCCAGTGTTAAATCATTTATTCTCTCTCTTTAATGCCAGATTCAGGTGCTGTTAGTTACAATGTAACTGTTTAAGATCCACCATTCCTAGGGGGAGGAGATTCTACCTTTGGGAATATTGTGATCTGTAATGTTGTGGAAGCCACATCTGTACAAAAAGAATTTCAGGGACCTTTAGTTACGTAATTAACAACTTTTATTTATATAGCGCTCTTCACGTAGGGTAACGTCTCAGAGAGCTTCATAAGGATGGAGTTGGACTCCAAGCAAGCCAGAGGGGCGAGGAGGAAGAAGAGATGTAGATGGCAGTGGTGTTAGTGATGCCGACGGCTCTAGGTGCATTTGAACAAGTAGGTTTTCAGGCAAAATTTTAAGACAGCAAAAGAGATGGAGGGGGAGTGGGGGGAGAGGGAGGGGTAGAGGAGGAGAGATGGAGGAGTATAGGGGTGAGATGGAGGGTCAGAGAGAGGCAGGGATAGAACGGGGAGACGGAGGGATGGAGGAGGAGAGATGGAGTGGTAGAGGATTTCACTGTGAAGTGTAGTGACTATTTGTAGGTAAATATACGGTAAGTAATACCTCAGAGTGCTTTACAAGGATAGGGTTGAATGCCGACGAGGGAGAATGGATTTGTGGGTGAGCAGCTTGAAATCAATCAGCTGGGAGCCAGTGGAGCCTAGCGAGGGTTGGCGTGATGGTGCAGGTGAGAGAGCAAGTACTGAGATTGGAATAGCCCTGGAATTGTCTGCAGTCCATCCACCAATATCATCATTGAAATTCTTGATTTTTTTGGTTCTGAATCTACACTGGTGAGAGTTGGGCACACTTTAGAGAAGAGTGGAGATTTCTATTAGTAGAAATAAAAAGGATCCTCCAAAAGGCTGGTTGGTAAAGTCACCTGGTTGATGCTGTCCTAGATTAGTAGGTTTGAAATCCGACCTGTGCTGTGTTTTCTGCTCTCAGCTGGTGTTGGGGCATTACAATGCTCTTAACTCAGTTCCCTTGGGCTATTTCGGCCTCAAGTTTCAAGTTACATTATGAGCAGAGGCAGGCACTGAAGATTGCAACAGCAAAGTTGGGAATATGGAAGATTATTTTTATCCCATGAGTTCATGGCTCACAGATGACTGAGCTGCGACATGGTTATGAAGAACTCTCTCATCAGTGGGATGATAATAGTATTTCAGTTACTCACTGAATGTTATTTGTACCATGAGTTTAAAAATAAAACATACACAATGGCTGCTAACACCAGGAATAGAAAAAGCATTCAGTTTTTATGTGGCAATTGGGGTGTTTCAAAATAATTTGAAAGATTTTTCTTAAAAACAGCCTCATTGCATCTCATTCAGTTACTCGCATTTCAGAACATATTCTGTCACAAATAGCAGCTTAGTGATGAGCTTCTGCAATGACTCACTTCACCTACAAATACAGTCACTACACTTTACACTAAAACCTGTCAAGTGTTTTTAGCAATTTTGACAACATTTTAACAATCCTTGCACTTGATATACCACTTTTTTAATTAGGTAAATGCATTTTATATAAGTGTCTGTCACACTATGTGTTTACAATCATATGTCCTATTATGAACACCTAACAAAAATGTTAGGACTTAGCATGTGATATGTCTAGCGTATCATTGACACTTTACACTTTCTGATCCATATCCTTATCCATATTCTTTCCGAACATGTTACCTTTCTGATCATTACCCATTATCCTTCGGGAAAGGGTGCACATGTGAACATTGGGTTGGTGCAGGACCAGATTGAATTGTGATGACCTCTGAAGCTCAATAGCCTGCCAGCGCACATTGTTTGGGGCTCATGCATAAAGATTAGAGATTTGGATGAGTTAATGGAGAGCTGGAAGACCCCTGTGGCTTTATCTCAGCATAAGTCACTGCCTTCTAGACAGGAGGGAGAATACAGTCAAGCATGCTTCTGTCCTCAGCTGTTGATTTCTATACATATTTACATCTAAAAGAGGCCAACGGATAACCATCAGGAACAGGAATCTTAGTTTATTTTTCTCCTTTTTAGCTGACGGGTGCCACAACTAGTTATAATGTCCTAATTTCTCTCCTGGGTAAATGAGTGCAGAATGAGGATTTGAAATATGAGACCGTTCCAGCCTGTAGGACTGCTTCAAGGGGCAGGTAAACCTGACCAAGCTGTATTGTATTTGGTGGCTTTGAGCATAAGCAATGGATTACCATCAAAATCCCTCGAATGATGTTGCAGAACTGTATTGCTAACCTCTCATCCTAGCTCACCTTAAATTTCCACGCTCTCACTAAAACGGCCTTAAGTCCCAAAGCAGTGATCAAGGGAAACATTAAAGTATCAATGCCTAAATCCAGCGCATTAGATTTATCGACCACCTGGTCATTAGGTCTCTGTAATTTACATTACTCAATACATGCAATGTGGCTCAGTAAAATTCTGCAGGCCTAAGCTCCCAGAGTCAGTTATAACTTCATTCGCTTTGCAAGCGAGAGACCTGAGTTCAATTCCAGGCAGGGCGAAATCTTGGGCAAGTTTCCTTAATCCACAAGCCTAATAATAATCCCTCCAAAAACAATAATAAATTGGCCATTTTCAATCCACAACTGTTTGTGGGACATTGCTGTGCGCAATTGGCTGCCGCGTTCGCCCACAAATATACAGTCAATTCACTTTACAGTGTGTTCTGTGAATCGCTTTGGGACGTCCTCCCGACGTGAAAAGCGCTATATCAAATGCAAGGATTATTATTATTATTATTATTTAAGAATTGGGAATTATTTGGAATTTTCTTTTCAAAAGAAAGACTGCCTGGACACAAGTTTATCAGGATGACCAAAGATGGTCAAAGATGGTCACTGTTGAGACATCTCGAAGAGCGTCATAGGATATGCTGTAAAGTGGAGTGATTGTGTATTCTATGGGTAAACACAGCAGCCAATTTGTGCACAGCATTGTCCCACCAACAGTCATGAAACGAATGACTATTTTCCTTTGTGTTATTGTTGACCAGGATGCTGAGAGAAACTCTTTCAAATAGTATGATGGGATTTAACGTCCACCTGGACATACAGATGGGTTTAATGTCCTCAGCTTAACATCTCAACTAAAGGATGGCAACTCCGACAAAGTAACACTCCCCAGCACTGCATTTGTTTGTTTTGCCCACAAATATACAGTCAATTTACTTTACACTTTACGGTATATTCTGTGAAGCGCTTTAAGACGTCTAGCAGACATGAAAAGCGCTATATCAAATGCAAGGATTATTATTATTGGAGTGCCAGTTTATACAGTATGGGTTCCAAGTCCTGACGTGGGCCTTGAACCTACCATCTTATCTTATGACTCAGAGCCAAGAATGCTAGCAACTGAGCCAGGCTGACACCAGGCTGAAATAGTGTTCTGTCTTACTCCTGACTCCCTTAACCTTTGACCAAGTTTCAGCCATGATGAGTAGAACTTAAAGCTGAACCATAGCCTGAATAGGGTTTCAGGTAGCAGATCAGAATAAACATAAATATCAGAAGGTGTCCACACAGCTTTGAAGCAGAAATTAAGGCAGAAAGCTAATGGCGTCAGGTATTTGGGCCTTGAGACATCCTCCC